AAGGGTTTGAAAGCGACTAAGAATATTGTGGTGATATTGATGTATAGCTTCCCTATTTTCGCTCCACCTGGCGCTGTGGAGCGCCAATAAAAATAAAATGCAATTGGATCAAATATCCTTGACAATATTTCAAATGAAATGTGTTTTAGGGCAGAAAATCGATTAACTCAACAGTTTTTATTCCAACGGGTTTTTCTTTAAGCCTTCATTAGTTTCAAATAGTGTGAAAATGTTTTCAATACAAATAAATTGCACATTGGCACGCGGGTTCCGGCAGCACAGGATATTTAATTTTTGACATTTCAGCGAAAAATATGCAGCGCGAATACAAGTGCAGAAAGCGCTCGAATAACGGACAATGTAAAAAGCAAATGAAATTATTGTACAAATATGGCAATGCCACTGATAAAAAGTGCGAAGTATTAACGAGGCTTTTTCTTCATAGCTACTTTCATGTGTGTGCATGTGCGTGCTTGTGCGTTTGTTGTGCAAAAAATGTGTTTTCATAAAACCGTTATGAGGGTAAATAGAGTGTATTATGTGCGTTGCAAAACGTGTAATCGACGTGGTCGAAATTACGCTGACTGCCTGACAAGCGGCGGGTCATGTCGGAGGCGTGGCGGGGCGTTAGAAAAGCGAGTGCGACCCATCACTCACGCATACATTGACGCAAACGCATTCGAGCAGCTAGGGTGGTTGGGTTGGTGGGTGAGCAATTGCTGCGCAGAAGAATCAGGTGGCAATACACCCAGTCAATGAACTCGAATGCACTTATGCGTCGACGTGAAGGGGCGATGAGGTGCTTTACGCCCGAATTATACAATCATTGCGTTTGCGAAAGTCTGAAATTGTTAAATTTGCTTGATTTGCTTTAATAAAACATGGTGATTTCATTTCATTCATTTTCGGCGTATTTGGCAACGCACTGCACGTAAGCACGTCGAACATATGTATCGCGCTGCGTTGTTGACAAAATAAAAAATTTACAAATTTGCATGAAAAAGATACCTCCGAGTTGTAATCCGTCAGTAAATGCACGCGTTTGGGTTTGCGTTTTGAATTTGACGTTTTGCGTCTTGCATGTTTTTGTTGCTGGCGTGTTGTTTGCGTGTTTTTTTACATTTCGCATTCGCATGTATTTGAGTCTGCTCTAGCATGCAAATTACTCAAATTACCGTTGTTGCAGTGTAGCGAAGCGGAAGTGTTATACTTGCATCTATCCATCTATCTGCCCAAATATGATTGTTATTGTTGTTGTTTATTAAAAGTGAATTTGCTATAAAGCTGAGTGTTAACGAATTTTTAATTAGAGATATAACTAATCCAAGTAAGTAAAGTTTTTTTAGAATTAATTTTTTATTTTTCCCGCCGTTAAATCTATTTTAGCAATTATGATATAGCTATCTGATGCTCTGATGAAAAGAAAGCGGCGGCATCAAGCTTTATTTGAAGTCATCACATGTGGTGCATTTGCTGGGTAGATTGAAAACAAATTTAATTGGCCTAATTTATAGGTTTTAACTATAAAAATTATAAATTATACATGAGACTTTTTAATGGAAGAAATAAAATTGAAATTTTGCTATTGCTTGCCGAGGGGCAACTGATGTTAACTTTTTTGCTTGCGGTTGGTCGGTATAAGAAACAAACTGTGGCCCTAAACAATGATAAAACGCATTTTCGGACATTATGCCATGGTGACCGATGCGAATCTTTAGTTTTTTTAAGTTAAATTGAAACATTTTTTTGATAAGCATATATAACTATTCTACAAGGTTTAAGAACCTACCCGGGTTGGATAATTGTCAAGCGAAATTGTTTACTTAACAACGATTGGGCCAAGTTAACTTTTCTGAAGAATACTTACATAAATTGTATGCTATCTTTATCTATATCTATATCTTTAAGGCAAACATAAGCCGTGTTCGTGAAGATAAACGAAAAAAATAATGAATTTCTAGTTTTGAGTGAGGGAGATGAGTGATTCCGGTGCGAAGATCTGACCTTTTTGCTAATGTTCGAGTCCCTTAATACAATTCTTCAACTATTTGGAGACGGAAATGCTTCTTATAAGACGAAAAGAACGCCTGCATTTAATTTTTGAGAATATCTTCAGCAAAATCGTTTGTAAGGGACAGCGCGAACAAATTACTTCACTTTTTTGTAATTTGTTTTCTTTTTCAAATACACAAAAATTGGAATTTGAACACAGAATTAAACGACAATGAATTTGCACACAGAATATGGCGTTTAGTTAAGCCGGCGGTTCCGCAAGCCATTGTAGCCCAGACACAGAGAATGCAGTCAGCAACGGAAGTGGCTTCAGCGCCGAAGGTGCAAGCCATAAATCAGGTTTTATATACAATACATACATATATATTTATCGTTGTGAGCGGACACATTCGCTGCCATGTATTTGTCCGTGTTCGGCATTAACGGTTATGCAAACCAAATTTTGCGCATAATTAATTTTTATTGCACCGCAGCGAGTTAAAAATCAAATAATTGAATAAAAATACTCAATTTAAATTTCAATTCAGATTTTATTTATTTTGGCGATTCCTTTATTTGCACACAAAAGCAGCGTTTAGCGGCAGTGGCTAAGTAAATTATAAGCGCACACACATCTGCACATATATTATACTCGAAAAATTAATAATTTGGCAGCGAGCGGTGTTATTTACTGCAGCCCCGCGAAATGTTAACGAAGAGCTGCACATTTCATTAAAGCGCGTAATTATTTATGCGCGCGTGTGTGTGTGTGCGCTTGTAGTGGTGTGGCAAATTGTAATAGTCTAATTCCCAAATGTCAACGATCAATCAATTTATTTGCTGTAACAAATGGTCGCGCGCGTTTCCGTTTATTAAATTGATAATTTGTGGTTAATTTCTAGTGAAAAGCTCTAAATGCTGGGCGAGACCGCACGGCAGCCACAAGCTGTAATTACATGCGATTTATTACGAGTTAATGCATTTTTGCTACACGCACACACACGTGGGTACACGTGCGGAGCCAATATATTAATGTGTATTAAATTACCAAAGAACGCATAACCAATTATGCTGCGTGCCATTGATATTGTCCCGGCCGAACGGAAATGAATGCACGCTGCACTTACACTCACACACCCACCTATGTGTGTTCTTACAATGGACGGCGCGTTGTTGTTTGGGGTTTTTAATTATTATATTGCAAATTTGTATTTAATGTAATTAATCCATTGTTATTCGCAGAGCACGAACGCACACCTCCTCACACACGGGCGCATAGCAAACACAAGAGCAAAACCGCATGGCCAATTGCACTTATTGTGCTCGTGTCGTTCAATTCATTCGCATAAATACCTTTGTACAATTCCAACGAAAAGTGCGGCACTCTATTTTGCGAGATTGCGCCGCCATGGAAGAAATAAGTATTTATCGTAAGGTTGTTTAACAATGCTTTTTCATACAAAGCATAAACTGATCATTCAGTTTGTTTCGAATAACATCTCGCTTCAAGCGCTTGGAGGGTTACCTTTCTCATCATTATATTTTTTGAAAAAATTCGTTCTTCGTATTGCACTACAATATATTGAAGTAATTTTACTGTGTTTCACAAATTAAACATTTTTTAGTCATTAAATAAAAGCATTTGTGGGTATAATCTTTAAAGAACCCCTTAAGTTATTATTCACTTGTATTACTGAAGTGTGAAGTTTATGCCAATATTTTGAGCGCTAGTGTAAGCAAGACTTTTACATATCTACCTATATACAGTTATGTGTACCTGTGTTTGCAGTCGGAGAATTTTATTAAATGCTTCATGCACATACTTAAGCGGTAAATGGCATATTGGCGCCGCACTTCACTGCTCGCACACTTGCAAACACATGCAACATAAGTACATGTACATAAGCAACCACAAGTAATTTATATGCGTATACATATACATATATGCATATTCAGTGTGTGCAAATGTATATTAACTTATGTTGTTACACCGCGATGAGTTTCCACAATTGGTTATTCAAAAATCAAATTAAATTCTCAAGTGGCTTATGAACTCATATTTCCATCATGAGTGCTGGTAAGGGTTGCTTTCAAGTGACTAATGCCCTTTAATACTCTAATGTGCTGCCAATAACCATAAACACGAAAAGGTTGATATAAAATCAATTGATTTAAAATTTTTGTAATTATTTTAAACAGGAACCAATTAGAGTATGGCTTGGACGTAGTGTTCAACACTAAGGCACAGTTTACAAAACAGAGTATTGGTATGCTTCACGATATAAAAATCTCCAAAGTTACCGGGTGCAAGGTAGTGAGGAATTTATACGCCAATATAGATGTTTCTGTATTAGAGGCACAACTAAACATTTCTGGTTAATGAAAGTACATATGCTTTTTGATTTGAGAATTTCTTACGGTTTATCTTTCACTTTATTTACCTATCATCCATTATTATCCTTACATTTTGCTTAAAAATCTCTTGATCTCAACCTCCCAACAACTCCTCTGAGTTACTTTAAGGGAATTACTGGTATATCATAGGATTTGGGATCACGAAAGGGATTGTCCCTGGCTTGATTTTTCAATTGAAAAGTGATAGCTCCTAAAGAATTTCAAATTCAAAACCAATAATCACCATTATCTACAGTATTCTCTTCTAATTTCTGTAACTATTTGACCCTTGTCCAAATATACGTAATACGAGTAGACGAAATGTTCAAACATTAAATACTTGTAAGAGCGTATTCTAAACGAACACCATACATATTTACATCGACCAACAGAATTATATAATGACATCAAAGCCAGTGACGAAGCCAAGCGTAGAGACAATGAAAGCGATAGTTTGGCGTTGGCGTCTGGAAGGAGGGCGCAAGCGCGCTTGCGGAGTGTAGAGCCAGAAAGAAGTGTAAAACCAGTTTCTTGGAATGCTAATAGATGTACATATAAATAAAATAAAACCCAGAGTATCACAAGCACAACGACGAAACCACACCAAGTCACTACAAATGCCATGCCACCAGCTCGGATGCCTGATTGACTGCATAGCGGTAGTTGGCAGATAAGTTGGTGACGGTGGTGGCAGCAGCCGCGCGCCTTGTCGGTGTATGTATGCCCGTTTGGGCACACGAAGCCATCGTTAATATATATGTGCATGGCCTGAACTTTCGAGAAAACCTGCACCCAGTCGCGGCGCAGCCTGTTTGCCACGACTGCGTCAACGAATGCGCGACCAACTTCTTAAACGGCCGAGACAGAGCCCGAGTAGATGGAAAGACAATTGGTCGGCGATCGACCGCTTGGTAGTTTTGTCTTCTATAAGTAATTTAAATTCAAGTCACACACCTACAAATTGTGAAAAAATCTTGCATACTGGTTTAGTACGTTGTGTCAGCTACGACACTAAGCACCCATAAATTTATCGTACGCTCGCTTGTTCACCTGCTTGGCCGCGATAATATCCGTTAAGACAGTGTAAAAGTTGGAGGAAAAGTAATCGATAATAAGTTACAATGAAGACCCAGCTGATCTTGTTGCTAGCCTTTGTGGCATTGGTGAGTGTGGAAGCCGTGTACGGCATAAAAGCATACACGCATTAACAAATTGGCACAGCGGCTACAACAAAAATGAAAAAACAAAAAGCAGCAATAACAAAGGCTGAAGCAATTGTTCGGCGTTTTGTGCAATTTTTTTTTCAAAAATCTACATTTATCATTTTATCTAACACGTTTTTTTATAACTTTGTGTTTGCTTTTACTTACATGGATTTGGTTGTTCGTCAACAGGTTGCAGGCAAATTTCAGATACGTACAGCTCAAGATGCGCTTGACGCGCACGAGGCATGCCATGAGGAGTATCGCGTTCCGGAAGACATTTATCAGAAGTTCTTGAACTACGAGTTTCCAGCCCATAAACGTACCAACTGTTATGTGAAGTGCTTTGTGGAGAGAATGGGACTCTTCACCGAGGAGAAGGGTTTCGATCAGAAAGCGATTATAGCGCAATTCACTGCGAAGAGTTCAAAGAATTTGGCTAAGATATCACATGGACTGGAGAAGTGTCTTGATTACAATGAACACGATTCGGACACTTGCACTTGGGCTAATCGCGTATTCTCCTGCTGGATATCCGTGAACCGACCGATTGTGCGCCGGACCTATATTGAAAACTAGGGACCCGATGCGGCTTACGATTGGTTGGCAAAATCTTAGTTGTAAGTTGATGAATCTTTTCGGAAAATTTACGTGCGATTCAAAATAAAAAAAGAAAATAAATAAATGTAAGAATTGCCGTTTATTTTTTTTAGCTGCACGACATTTGCATGCTATCGAAGCTGAAATAAAATAAAAAAATAAAATGGGTCTCGCTGAAAATGCGCTGGTTGTACATATAAATTGAATGTTTGTTGTATGAATACAGTTATGTGCATCTACTTAATTTAATCCACTAAATTAGGAGGCTTTTGTTTTGTCTTCGACTGTCTCTGTCGTTTTACTGGTAATCACGGCACTCAGTGTCGTGCTTTCCAATGGATAAGAACCATCTGTGTTGTAGTTCAAGCGTTCCAAACAGTTGTACTCCTCGTACATCCATTCGCATTTGTCGCGCGTCTTCGTTTGCTCAGCGCTCACTTTGCAGACATTTGAAGCCGTGCGATCTTGGCGCATCGGTCCAAATGCTTTGACCCAGTTGTCGAAATTCCACTCGTAGCTTGGCGTGTAGAAATTCAACTTCTCTGCCAAACATTGAAAGAGGCAGGGCACAACTTCCTTGGTAGGAAAAGCGGCGTACTTTTGTAGTTCCTTCATAGTCACATTTAGCTCGCTGGCGCAACTCACAATGTTCTTGTAGGTTTCCAGAGTATAGAGCTCCGCCTGTAAATGGAGTACATTATTAATAAACTAATCGCTATGTATTGGCCTATACTATACATTTATATACTTTCTATTACCATAAGCTAATTTTGGTTCTAATTTAAATATCGCAAAGTATGGTACGATAATTAAACGAATACAGCAGAAAACTTCCAAAAGATGTCTCTAACAGATCGGATCAATCAATACAAAGTCCCCTCAACATAGCGGACCAGACGGCGGTTCCATTTGAGTGTGATTCAGAAATTAAACGACCACTGCTGAAAGCCGTACGGTTAAGTGCTTTTCTACAGAGACTTTTCGATGGATTGTTATTTAGATTTTGCACAGTCACTACCAATCCATCAGATGCACCTATTCTTATTATGAGAATGCTACGTATAAGTTATTTGGTACCTGTTTCAAGCAACGCAGGCCAGTATATGCGAACTCGCAACTATCCTCATTGTAGCGATCGAGCTCATAGCGGCAGTAGTTGAACATATCTGCACCCAAATCGTCGGCAATCTGCTGCTTGTTCCATTTGCTTTCGTTCGCATCGAACCAGTGCTTCATTGACGCGAGACAACGTGTAAAACAGGGAACCTCCTCCAATGTCCATTTGGAATAGCGTGCAACCTTTTGTAGCTCACCGACCAAATCTTTGCTGCCAACTTCACGTAAGCATTTTCGTAATATCTCTGTATCGGAATCTGCATCTCGCTCCGCCGCCTTTGTTGTCGCAGCGCTGCTAACCTACAAATTTTGTATTTATTTCAAATCTTTCTCTAACATTTTTGATCATTAGGTCATTTGCATATTTCAATTAACTATCGAGTTCATATGTGGTTTGGCCACTTCGAGCTTTTTGAATTTGGATTTATAATTTACCATTTGTATACAGTAGGCGATTAATAAAATCACTTGTGACGCTTCGCGAAAATTCATTTTCGATGAATTCCGTTTCGTTGTTGGAGTTCTGTTGATTTGTGGTTCTTTAGAGCCTTAGCCGTTTATTGATACTGATTTGGATGGGAAGTAATCGCTGCGAAACGACGCTGTAACGCCTTGTAGGCTGTGTTGTTGTTGTGTATATTGACAGTGTTGTATTTCTTATCTGTGTTTTTAATTTCTTCACTTGGTACTTGTCGGCGGTAAGCTGATAACGCTGTATAAATACGCTTATTTCGTCTTGTTTAGTGACATGTGTGACGGCAGCTACAGGGTTATCGCTGAGTGCGCCAAAGTGTCATTGCTACATGTAAGCTGAGCTTAGGGTTGTAACACAAGCGTTGTTTACAAGAATAATTCTCGCGATGAGGCACTGGGGCTGGTTGCAAGTTTTTCATCTCTCTCAATCTGTCGGTTTGCGCTCTCGCAAAATTCAAATTGCTGAACATTTCTTTCACTTAAGAGAAGACAAAGACGAATTTAATTTTTTCTTTCCATACACATGCATAAAATAATAGAAATATCTTAAACTTTTTCCCAACAATGAGAATATTTCAACTCTGCAGTCTTCCAGATTCCCATTGTTTACAAATTAATCGGACTTAAACGGTTGAAAGTCATTTTATACCTTTATGAGAGGAATTTCGTCTGCGATAATTTAATTTGGAACTTCAACCGTTTCCAATTTTATAACGTACCGATGATAGAAAACACAATTTAACAACAGTATGGAGCAGGCTAATTATTACGCAGAACTTATATCGAAACCTAGTTAACAACATATACGAGATAGGTGAGCTTGAGTTGTGAGAGCAAATTCGTAAAATTTATAAATTTGTAATATTTTAAAATTTGACTCTGTTATAAATATGAAACTTATATTCTACAACTATTTAAATGGTTGTAAAACGTTGCTTTGGATTATCATCGAAACGCTGCTGGATTACCTAACTGTATACTCGCCTGCCTGAGCTTTTTCGCTGACTTTATCGAATTGGTTGCCTTGAAAATGCTAATGGATTGGAACTAACTGATAGGAAATTGAGACTTGACGTATTCTCATGTTTCAAAGCATTAATACAAATGCACATACACATAAATACTCATTCGGTTGAAAAAAAACAACATTTATGGTTTTGAGGCCAACAAAATACATTGATTCGGTTGAGGCACGTTCATTCACAGATTTATTCGCTTGAAGACTGAATAGAGTTTCAAAGTTATATAAAAATCGAACTGATTAGAACATAAATGCACTCTTACTTTTTTAAAATAGTTTACAAAGAGCTTCTAGCACGTGGCATATATAAAATCGGTTTTTAATCGTGAGCCAATACAAAACAAGTGAATTCCTGATACATCCACACACAGGCATTGCGTGTGCGCCTCTGCTTAAGGCAATGTTGTATATTTGCACCGGTTGCAGGCACCCCCAATTTGGCCGTCAGCGCCGGTATATTCCATTGGCGAGATTGCTGGCTATAGAGTTGCAAGCGGTCGATAAAGCATTTGGTGAAGCATGGTATGGGCTCGCGTACCGGATTTTTGGAATAGTCTTTGACGCGCTCCCATTCGTACTGATCAAAGCGATGCAGACAGTCCTTCATGGCGGTTTTCGCCTCGATGCTGACATTCTTCATGCTCTCGATTAGCACGAAAGGGTCATCCTCCAACTGCATTGAGAAAGGTAGAATAAAAATTACCATAAGTTAGGGTATATATATATTAGCTTGAATATTCACAACTCACATTGACAAGGCAATGAAATCCATTATAGGCCTGCTGACAACTATTTGCCGAAGGTTCCATGCGATGCTTGCATGCTTTGTAGAGCGGCTGGCCGAACTGCTTGATCACCTGTTCATCTTTAAATCCCACAGACTCGTCGAACATGTCAAACATATTCTTGATGTAGCACTTTGTAAAGCATGGTATCTCTTCATACGTTTCCGACCAGCCCTTAAAACGCACCAAACGCTGCGCGTTCTCCTCCGTTAAACCGCCATAGCTTCGAAGACATTCGGAAATTATACGAACTTCTTCGGCATTGGGTTCAACAACTGCCACCGAAGGAGTCTGGCAAAAAAATCAAAATTAATCAAACTTAATGAGGACTTATGAAAGCGCTTTCGTTTAGACGTCTTACTATGATTGCTGCTGCGAATAAGAAAATTAAAATCAATTCCATCGTTTCGTGTGCGCTCTGTGTTCGCGATGAATTCGTATGAAGCTGAAGTGGGTCTCTTGTGCGATTAGATTGCGCGCAGGTCTATAACTGCTTGATTGGTTGGCAATTCACTGTAGCGAATTTCTTTTGGCATAGCGATTGGCCGATTATCAGCTTACTCTATACTTGGTGAGCATCAAGAATCAAGAATTGCTCAATAGTTGCTGATAACCTAAATTATTTGGGTATCATTCATTTAACGAATGAAATGAACTTCTATGTTGAATTCAGAAGGCCATTGGCGTACTTAAGTGCCGGAGATGAAATGTATACAAATATTTTTGTTGTTTTTATACTCAATCGGAAAATATTAAGGATATGATATGATAGATTCTGTTCGAATACTATTGAAGATTCCAAGTAATGATCTGCTAAAGTATGATTCTTAACATACATGAAATAGAATTGCATTTTTATAGCCTTCCTATTGAATTTCTTCCTACACAGTTACAGTGGTGTCCGCATATAAGAAACGAGCAACTTTCGAAAATCTTATTAAAAATTGCCTTATGTCGAATATGTCGGTCAGTATGTGAGTTATATATTTATAAAATTACTTGCAAACATGTTCTTGAGAATACCTGAGTAATGTTAAAAGTTTGTGCACTCAGGCCAGATCTTTTTTGTCCCGAATATGCGCTAGAGATTTTTGTTCTGTGATATTTTTGTGATTTTTAAAAATTGTGTGGTTAATCGTCCAAATTTGGAATGAATTCCGATTTTCTGCTTGACGTTTTGCATATCATCTCAATATATTAAATTTAGTCTCTCCGATGAAGTTTATGCCAAATATGTTTCATCGAGGATGATTTTGATAAAATTTTCGCGGAAGGGAAGTAAAATATAGTTATAAAACTAATTAAGTCCTGATTTATACTATAAGTTATAAGATTAATTGTAATCCATTCACGATTTCGCCAAATAATGAATGTTCGATTCTTTCGTAACATTTTTTTTGAAATATATAGTTTTGCCAACAAGGTATTTCCCGGCTTTGCTCCATGCAAGTTGCAAGAGTATGAAATGTTCGGTTACATCCGAACTTAGCCCTTCCTTACTTGTTTTCTCCTCTTTTTCTGCATTATAAGTTTTTTCATTATTCCTTAAACTTAAATATATGTATGCCAATTGTTGAATCAATAAAAAATCATGGAGATTTAAAATTGAATTATATTTTATGAATCTTTAAAAGGTTTCTTTTACAGTCAACTAAATCAGACTCAAAATTATATAATCGCCTCACAGAAATTTAAAATTTTTTTTTTAATTTGCTAGCAATTTTATTGATAATCACAGCATCAGTTGCCAATGAGGCCAAACAGCCAATTCGCCTTTGTTACTTTTGCCTCACATTTATA